AGAGGATTAGTGGTGCGTTCACACCAAACATGACCACTGCAAAAAATCTGCCAGTTTTGCATATGTTTGCTCACCTAATTTTTGCTAGAAATTGCCTGGCCAGCGAAAGCAATCCACACAGCGTGAGAGTTTGTATCGGGGATGAAAGGCTCCACCCCTTCATTCAGTCTACTGGTTGTCGGTGTCACCTCACCATGGTGGAAAGGGATTTTACGGAGCGCTTTGTGGCGCTGTATTAAATTTGGTAAACCGAGCAAAGCCAGCGGTATCCCTGGATCCATTAGATCCAAAAGAGATGCATACACTCCAGGTAGACAATGCGGTCAGCCATATTTACATTTTCTTATTTATTAACTCTACACTCCACAAAGAAATTGATTACAGAATATACAGATAACAGTGATGGAAACCTTCTTACTGGGTGTATACTGTGTGATAACGAATCGGGTCGAACTTTATTATTTATAGGTCTTTGCTGTTTTACATAGGGATAATTGCGGGTAATGCTTCGGGTCTTGGTTCTGAACTCTATGGGTGCGGGTGGATCGTTTTGGAAAAATCAGACCTGTGCAGGAATCTGGGCCATGGACCTCTCTAGAATTGCAAGCTTTGCCTCTCAGCACTCCAGAGCCGTCTTTTTATTAGTGGAAATTTGCAAATTATTCATGCCAGCTTGTCATGGTTTTGGTTCTGTTGTGCTTTACTTTGCTACATGTTTCCTAGTTGTATTGGTTTAATTCCTGTTTTGTTGTAGTTTCTAGATTTATGTTAGTTCTCAGGTTTTTCTGTTGTCCTGTTGCCCTCTTGTGTGTGTTCCTTTCCCCTTGGCTCCCTCGTTGTCTCCTCTCACACCTGCTCCTCATCTGCTCGTTAGCCCTGCCTTTGTCTCAGTCAGCTTTATATTCTCTCCCTCTGCTGTCACTCCTTGTTGGTTCCTTGTCGTCTCAACGCTGTTTTCTTCCTACCTCGTCTCTCCCTGGCTCCTCGTGATTATTTTCCCCTGGTGCCTCCATGGTTCTGGTTTGTGTTACATATTAAGTTGAATTTTGGATTCATGCCTCTGTTAAACTGTCTCCTCTGATTAAATCTACAAGAACTCACCTCTGCCTCCCTGCCTCTGCATTTGGGTCCACAAACACCAACAAAAACATTACACAGCTACAAAATTAGCATTTAGTTTGAAAGGACCTTAAGTAGGTGGTGGTGGATTTCAAAGGGGACAAGGATCCTCTTCCTCATCCTCTCTACCTTGGAGAAACAGCTGTAGAAGTGATCTCATGCTAGAAATCACCTCTACAATAACATTACAATAATACACGTCCTTCATAGCTTCCAGCTACAGGCTACATTAGTAAACTACAGGTAGCCCAGCTATTGTACTGCTTACCCTGACAGACACCAGAACTTTGTTAATCACGTGAAAAGTTTGAATATCCTTAACAAAGCCTTTAAGACATTGATTGCAGGTATTTATATATATCAGGCCCAAACCTTCTCTATTATGTATGCCCTTGTCATCTTTACTAAATAATTACCAATGTCATAATGAGAGATGATCTAAAATGTTGCTTTCTCTGTCTCATACAGGTCGATCTTGACAGCAGTCATTGTCCTGTCTAACAATTGATGACTATAATGGAGATTTGCTAACTTAAGACATCTAGAAACCATGATGCTATGACCAAGGGTGTCCAACCAATTTAGGTTGTCACAACTAAGTATGGGGGCTCAATACCTTTTCATTTGGGGGCAGGCTGGATTGGAAGGCATTTTATATTTAAGCCTAATAGATTATGTATATAAACAAATATTGATAGATGGACTTTATTGATCCCACAGTTGAGAAATGTACTCGTTACATCAGCTTGAATATTCAATAAATATAAATAGACTCAAATGAATATAAATATATATTTATATTCATCTGAGTTCTGTTTATATAAATGACATGAAACATAATTTGGCAAAAAATAAAATCTCATTACATGTTTATTAATCATAACTATGAATAAAATAATTAGGAATACATTATAAGACCATTTTAGAAAATGTGGTTCAATAGAAAAACATAAAAAGGATTCCAGACATTTTTTCCCCTCAAAGTTAGGGCAGGTTTACCTGGAGCTCAGGGGATAAAGGTGGGATTAAACTAGAGACCAGCATTAGGGGATGCTTTGCTGATAGTTGTCTGTTTCTTCAAACATGTTACTTCTGGGTGGGGTAGGTGGTTCTATAATCTCAAGCGTGGGACCTCTACCAGAGGCCTGTTAGCTTAAAGGAATAGTACACCCAAAACATGATTAGCCTTCATTTTCTACTCACCCCCATGCTGAACAACACTCTGGAGTACTTTTTTGATATCTCAAATGCATCTGGAGATCTGGGAGGCTTCTTGCTGTCTGCTGACATTCAAATAATGGAGGTCTATGGCGCCCGAGGCAGAAAGGTCCATAAAAGTCCACAAAAAACGTGTCAATATTCCTCCATACTGCTCGTCCAATGTATTCCAAGTGTCCTGAGTGGGTAGCGTCCATAATTTACTCGAAACGAAGTCATATAGAATGTTCTTAGAGCATAAACAGTAGTGTATAGGATTTCCTAAAAGCGGGTTCACGAGTCTACGTAAACCGCGGCAGACCAAACCAGACGAAAGTGCACATTCAGCTCGGCAAAGAACTCATGCTCTTCCTCAACACTGAAGTCCTCAGACATTTTTCTTTCGTTGTTTCTTTCTTTGCACAGGTAAACAGCACAGTTCTTCTTCTACGCTTGCATTATCGGCAGAGCAGATGCTGAATGTGCACTTTCATCTGGTTTGGACTAGCCTAAGGCCTTGGAATTTTTCTAATTTTCGGGTACTTTTTCCTGATCTTTCCATCATTTGCCTTGCCACATCGAACTCTATGGCTGTCCTTTGCTGCTTATCAATGATCACTATGTTCGGTTGTTTGGCCTCAACCAATTTTTCTCTCTGTATCTGGAAACCCCACAGGATCTCAGATATGTCATTCTCAACCCCCTTGGGACGTGGCTCCCATTTTGACCTGGGGTTCTCCAGTTTGTATTCGGCAAAAATGCTTATGTACACTATACCAGCCACCTGGTTATGGCATTGCAAGTATTCCTTTTAAGTCAGTATCTTAAACCCTACTGTGAGATGTAGATCTTTGCATATGCTGCACCTGGAATCTTGCCTGGTATGGTAGATCTGGGTGTCTATTGGTCTGGTGCTCAAGGCCTGCTCCTGTACTGCCATGATCAGTGTGTCCGTGCTGTCCTTCAGCCTGGCCCTCAATAGCCATTGGTAGGATTTCATCAGCTATCTGTCAGTGGTACATCCCATGCAGGGTTTTTCCTTCCATGGTGGTTTATCCAATGACTTCATTTCCAGCTTCCACTGTCTGAGACATTCACTCCTCATCCCTTAGGGCAATGTTCCTGACTTATTCTTGGAGCGTGGATGTTTAATCTTCAGTGGTGGCTCTGTTGCTAACAAGGCATCTACATCCATCTTTGCGCTTAGTATATAGTCTGTCAATACTGGATTTGGGTGTTTTCACACCAATGGCCTGAATTTCCTCCTTAGGTCAAAGTATCATCTCAGCAGGGTATCTGATTACTGGCAAGGCATACAGGTGCTGGTCATAAAATTAGAATATCATGAAAAAGTAGATTGATTCCAGTAATTCCATTTAAAAAGTGAAACTTGTATATTATATTCATACATTACATACAAACTCATATATTTCAGATAATCCGTGTATCATTCGTTCTTTCTATTTTCAATTGCCAATCAAAAAACAAAAAATAAAAAATTGACTGGTTATTTTGTTTTTTGTTTTTTATGGTTAAACCAAAAACGAAAAAAGGATTGGGTTTTCATATTTCAATTCTAAGCTCCGATCAAGAATACGAAATGGAAAAACGGACAGCAACGCAGAATTTGATTTTAATATTTAATCGGTACAGTTTACGTGACCCGGAAATAGCTCTCTGCGCGGCAGTTGGGGTAATGAAGTGGCTACCATGGCGAAGCTAGAACCACACACTATGTTGATCGAGAAGCTTTTTGCCAGCGGTTTGACACACGCCGAAATTTCAAGCTCATTGCAGCAGATGGGTATCAAGGAATGCTCTAAGATGAGCGTCAGAAGATTCTGTGCTCTCCATGGTCTGAGGAGAAAAGGGTCTGTTTCAGACGCAGAGCTAGATAGCGCTCTGATCCAATCTGTATATGAGGTAAGTTGTCTTTCAGATTTCATTATGATAATCGGCCAGACCTCCACTGTATATTTTATGTATTATATCTATATAATACACCGACAGTAAATTTGTAATTCTGTGACAGACGGGACCATCATATGGCAGGAAGTTCATGACCGGCTATCTGTCTTCACTGGGGCTGCATGCGGGAGAGGGTCGGGTTGGAAAACACCTAAGACAGCTCCATCAGCCATACCATGAACTCCGACGTCAGGTAATTATTGTGCTTTAAAAAGTACAGATTTGGTAATGATAGGCCTAACGTTTAAAATTTATAATGCTACTGAGGTCGGGATCAATCGTGCCAGGATCTCCCACCTCTCACTCAAAGTTTTCTTCTTGGAAAAAGGTTGATTACATTGATGACGCTACAGTTCAAAAAGCCTCCTTTAATTTCCCATCTCTTTTTTTAAATAAGGCGTCATTTTAGATTAATAAACGTGCATGTTTCTTCTTATTTTGAAATGTGCGGACTCAGTGAAGCGTGGAGTGATTTCAGCAGATCGTGATGCAAGTTGAGCTATGAGCGGAGTCAAGGAAAGCTGAGGGGCTGCATCCTTCAAAAGGACCCGCTCCTGGGTCCTTCGTCCACTCACCCTTACCTTGGCGTTACTCATGTTGCCTAGCAACCGGGACAGCGAAGCAGCTTAAAAATTAACAAATAGTATTATTGTCATAGTTGTCTTTCGTATATAACCTTTAAAGCAAGTCATTGAATTACTTAAATTCAATTTAGTGATGCAACATTTTTTATGACAGATCAGCGGTCGTGAACCATGGAATGTGGGATCAAGTTCGGGTTGATCATGGCAAGGAGTTCTACCTGTGTCTTTACATGCAGGAGAGGCTGTCAAGATACAGACACAACCTCAGCAGGCCACCATACCTCCAAACCACATCAACAAGGGTGAGAAGTTATTGAAATTATTCATGGTTCATGCACTGTTCCCTTTAAATATTATTAAACATGATTTAACTCTTCCATAAACCCAGTGGAACTACTGTACATGTGCAATTACCTGTCCATTGTGTCCAGTATGTTTTTATTTTTAATCTTCACATTTTTGTTTGATTTTGTGTTCATCCTTATTTCTAGTTTTGTATAATCTCATCTGTGTCGTGACATGATTTATTGTGTCACACACATACTTAGAATATTAACATGATTCTGATCTTAAAAGAAAAATCCATAACGTGCCGTTACATTTCCTGCTTTTGTATTTACCTTTAACCTAAAAACATCATGGACTTATCAACAGAACCTTCGTGTGGAGAGGTTATGGCCAGAGGTGAACAATCGTGTGAACTACCCACTTAAACGGGCTCTGGTGCACCTGCTGGACCAAGAGGTTTTGAACATGGAGGATAACCTCACTAGGTTCTGCATGTCAAATCTGACATGTCAAGTAAGCCAAATTGGACTTAACAGAGTTGTGCGTTCATGGAATGCACACAAGATACCAGGTATGCTTAACTGATAGTTTTCACTATAGAATTATTGCTTCTTTTTTTCCAATCCAACCATTTTTTTTGGATTACGTTTTAGGTCGTGGAATACCCAATGAACTAGCAGCAGATGGCTGCCGGGCTAAAGTATCCGAGGAGCTGCTGCCATGTGCTTCTGTTGTGGGAAACCTATATGAGCAAGACTTGGGATCCTCACTAACTTGGGAGTCTGTATTTGGAGCTGATCCATTTTCATGTGAAGAAGACAGATGCTATGCTGAGCAGATCTTTGCAGAGAACTACCCTGACATCTCTCTCATTTTTAATCATGTGGTAAACAATGATGATACTCCTTTCCAAGATGCCTTAATCTGCTTAATGAATGTGACAGCGAGATATGTCTGAAAAAATTTAATGTTTTAGTTGTGTTTTCACAGCATGTGGTCTGCTTGATTTGCTGGATAAGCAAAGAATTTAGTTTTTTTACTTAACAATTCTGTAGTTGTTCATATGTTACAAAGCTGCCATAATTTCAGTTAAATAATTTTGGAAAACAATTTCTTTCAACTGTTTTATTCAACCTTTTTAGAATTACAAAAGGTATAGAAAAATACAAAAGCTTAGGATATAATTTGAGGTTGAGCTCAAAACTCAACAAAACAGTAACAGAGTCCTAATTTCTAGGTTTTCCATTTTTACTGTAAAATACAGAAAATATACAATATAAAATAGTGCAAATTTAAGGTACTGTCTTAAAACTGAAACACAGTTTTGGCAAAATAAAATAACAGTTTGAAGTTGCGTAAACATTTTTAAACAGTCAAAAGTGCTTTGAGTGAATCATTAAAACATTGCAAGAGATGCAAACACTAAAGATGAACAGCATGAACACAAGTAAATACTGTACAGTTTTACTGGTACAGTATTTTGTCCAGTGCAGCCAGTGCATCAGACAATCCAGTAAGTTTTTGTGCATTTCTACCAAAATCATCTGCTCTGCATTTTGGACAAAATGCAGAATTCTGCTGCCATTGTTCAATGCAGCTCCTGCAGCCAACAATGCTATGGCAACACGAAGACACCATGGGGTCGACCACTGGACCTGCAAATTTGATTCAGAAACATATTTTTTTTAAATTCAGTAACTGCATGTGCTTACATATTTTTTGCATTGAGGGCTATTCTGTTCATGAACCTGGGTACATGAGTTGTACTGACTTGTGTCTGAAGAAGACAAAAGTTTTTATTTACCCTTGCAGATAATACAGGAAAAGGCTTCCTTAACAGCAGCTGCTTCAGCCTCAGTCAAGGACACTGGTGTTCTTCTGTTGGAACTTGCCAGATGTGTCAGCTCCTTAATTGTATTTGACACCTCCCGAAGACCCTGTGCTGCCAGGACCACCTCTTCAATTGTGTCGTACACTGCCTCTAGACCATTATCATCTCGCCGACTGAAAAGCAGGCAGAATAAAGATGTTATAACCTACTTGGTAATAATAGCAATTATAACCAGCTTTGTATTCATGTTGTCTGATTTATACTTCAAATACACCACTCAAAATATAATAACTCTACCATTGCAACTTCCAATGATCTGTTAAACTAATTCATACCTTTTAATTAAACTTTATACAAGTTAATGTAATCATTGTGATTCTAACTCATGCAAAAGAAATTACAGACTTGAATGGCCTTTGTTGGCAAAAATTCCCACCAAGCTAGGCCATTGATGACTGACAAATCAAGTTTAAATACCTCAGTCTTCTTTTTTTGCTTCCTTGTAACTGCTGCAAATCTCCTTCTTTCACAGCACACACCTTCCTAGCATTTTGTTTCCAAAAAGCGGCTCCTTAAAAGGAAAATAGGTGATTTTGTATTACATAAAATATATCACATTTTCAGAAAAAAAATAATGCAAAAGTGTTTTAGTTAAAATCAGGCAGTTAAACTTGCTCATTTATTTATTAATTAATTTATTTATTAATTTACCTCTGGTTCCTTCTGTATCCAAAATCCGTTTCCCCTGACCATCCGTAAGAATGAAGGAGTCCTCATGTTCAAGGGCATCATTTACTTTATTTGTGATGCCCATGACAGACGCCTCAAATTCCGAGAATCTAACTGTCAGGGTTTTGCTTGTTTCCAACATGCCTTCCACAAGATCAGCAACAAAAATTGTCCTGAAGATTACAATATGTTTAGAATTTAGATAGATAGATAGATAGATAGATAGATAGATAGATAGATAGATAGATAGATAGATAGATAGATAGATAGATAGATAGATAGATAGATAGATAGATAGATAGATAGATACTTATGTGTTAAAGTTTTGTCACCTTTGGTATGTCTTTGTCACTGGTGCTCTTGGAGAAGGCCTTGCAGTTAGAGCTGAACCAGCAGCGACACTAGATGGGCGGCGGAAGGCGAAGGGGACAGGCACACTGGATGGCTCCCCCACAGCATCACTCTCTCCATGCACTTCATAATGCCCCCTTACTCTGAGGTCAATGGTGCTGAAGTGACCATCGTTTCCAGGAAATATGGCAACATTGGTGTCATCAGTAATGTAGACACTGGAGCCATGAACCTTTGCAAAAGTAATGATATATGATTTATACTGAACATTACATCAAATAAATTAACTGAAGTAATTGACCACAAATGTGCAAATAGATAAAAACGTCAAAATTAGCAAAAGGTAAAACAGCAACCAAACAAAATGAAAAGGAATTTAAACTATGGCAGAGGGAGACTGCATTTGATGTAACTATACCAAAATAAATACCAAAATAAAAGAAGGCTTACGCAGCAAAATATAGGCTATGCTACGTTGTTGCTAGTTAAAAGTACAGTGCACAGAAAAGTTTCAAGAAAAAAGTTATACCTGGAAAATCCTGCTAATTTTCTCCGTTGTCATGTCCTCCTCCTTAAGAGTAACACGCTTGGATCCTCGAAATAAAACGTAAGTGTCCATGGCTGATAGGTCCGACTGCCTTATCTGGTGCAGCTTGAACGAACGTGGTGGGGGTTAGCCAACTGTTTTTTTAGCTAACGCTCCATCAAACTTCCGGGTCACGTAAACTGTACCGATTAAATATTAAAATCAAATTCTGCGTTGCTGTCCGTTTTTCCATTTCGTATTCTTGATCGGAGCTTAGAATTGAAATATGAAAACCCAATCCTTTTTTCGTTTTTGGTTTAACCATAAAAAACAAAAAACAAAATAACCAGTCAATTTTTTATTTTTTGTTTTTTGATTGGCAATTGAAAATAGAAAGAACGAATGATACACGGATTTCAGATGTTTATTTTGTTTAATTTTGATGATTACAAATGACAACAAATGAAAATCTCAAATTCATCATATCAGAAAATTAGAATATTGTGAAAAGGTTCAAAATTGATGGCCCCTGGTGCCACACTCTAATCAGCTAATTAACTCAAACCACCTGCAAAAGCCTTTAAATGGTCTTTCAGTCTAGTTCTATAGGCTACACAATCATGGGGAAGACTGCTGACTTGACAGTTGTCCAAAAGACGACCATCGACACCTTGCACAAGGAGGGCAAGACACAAAAGGTCATCGCTAAAGAGGCTGGCTGTTCACAGAGCTCAGTGTCCAAGCACATTAATAGAGAGGCGAAGGGAAGGAAAAGATGTGGTCGAAAAAAGTGTACAAGCAAGAGAGATAACCGCACCCTGGAGAGGATTGTGAAACAAAACCCCTTCAAAAATGTGGGGGAGATTCACAAAGAGTGGACTGCAGCTGGAGTGAGTGCTTCAAGAACCACCACACACAGACGTATGAAAGACATGGGATTCTGCTGTCGCATTCCTTGTGTCAAGCCACTCTTGAACCACAGACAGCGTCAGAAGCGTCTTGCCTGGGCTAAAGAGAAACAGGACTGGACTGCTGGTGAGTGGTCCAAAGTCATGTTCTCTGATGAAAGTAAATTTTACATTTCCTTTGGAAATCAAGGTCCCAGAGTCTGGAGGAAAAGAAGAGAGGCACTTCATCCACGTTGCTTGAAGTCCAGCGTAAAGTTTCCACAGTCAGTGATGGTTTGGGGTGCCATGTCATCTGCTGGTGTTGGTCCATTGTGTTTTCTGAGGTCCAGGGTCAACGCAGCCACATACCAGGAAGTTTTAGAGCACTTCATGCTTCCTGCAGCTGACCAACTTTTTGGAGATGCAGATTTCATTTTCCAACAGGACTTGGCACCTGCACACAGTGCCAAAGCTACCAGTACCTGGTTGAAGGACCATAGTATCCCTGTTCTTAATTGGCCAGCAAACTCTCCTGACCTTAACCCCATAGAAAATCTATGGGGTATTGTGAAGAAGAAGATGCAATACACCAGACCCAACAATTCAGAAGAGCTAAAAGCCACTATTAGAGCAACCTGGGCTATCATAACACCTGAGCAGTGCCACAGACTGATCGACTCCATGCCACGCCGCATTGCTGCAGTAATACAGGCCAAAGGAGGCCCAACTAAATACTGAGTGCTGTACATGCTCATACTTTTCATGTTCATACTTTTCAGTTGGCCAACATTTCTATAAATCCTTTGTTTTTATTGGTCTTCAGTAATATTCTAATTTTCTGATATGATGAATTTGAGATTTTCATTTGTTGTCATTTGTAATCATCAAAATTAAACAAAATAAACATCTGAAATATATGAGTTTGTATGTAATGTATGAATATAATATACAAGTTTCACTTTTTAAATGGAATTACTGAAATCAATCTATTTTTTCATGATATTCTAATTTTATGACCAGCACCTGTAGTTGTCGATTACTTGGACCTTTTTCTTACCAATGAGTTGACTTCTCAAAACTAATTCTACTGTCCTGCAGTAAATAGGTCATGTGTTAGTTACACAAATGTAGTCAATGGTTGAATTTTTTGAGACAAGTGATTTTTTAGATTTGCTGCCACTAGAACCTATATAGTTGCACACTTTTTCTTTGGGAGGGGGACAGTATAAGCACAGCCCACCTCAAAGAGTTGGAAAAAAGTGCATTATTTCATGACATACTGTGTGAGACACATGCAAATGTAAACCATTCATATGTATTGGATTTTCTAATGGAGGGCTTCATCTGTTCACAGCATTTGAGTGTTTTTTTTTTGTAATTCTTTTCTGGAAGCCTGTGTTCCCAATTTGACAAGTGTCATTCATCTGCGTGTACCTAATGACTGGGAACCGTTCAGATGTATCAAAACAGGAAATAAGTCATTTCCCACTCTAGATAGAGTACTTGCTGTTAACCTCAGGAAAGGTGAAGGGATAGGAGCAAGAAACAGGAGCTAAGAGTTATAATTCGAGGTATTCGGATTCGGAACCAAAAACCTATCAAGGTGTGAACATCTGCAGGTCTCATAGATGACACTAAAGGATGCCGAACTCCTTGAGGTGGGCATTGCCTTTATGCCCTGCAATGCAAAGGATTTTGGGCAGTCGTATAGCTTCAAGCAGTGGCTAGAGACATCAGGAGGTCCAAAAGCTAACTATATTGGTTATTGGAAGCATACTGTCTCCCGGTCCTTGCTTCTTCTGTACTGCATATGCTATAAGGATAGCACTTATTATGGCGAATGCAGATGCTCTGCTCCATTTCTCACCTTTATCCTATGGAGATAAAACTGTGCACTGGGACCTCTCTGAATGGTTTTCCATGGAGCCCAGGGAATTTCAGACTTTAGACTAATCAAAGCTAATTAGACACTGAACCTACTTCCAGATTTCTCTGAAAAGACTGTCTGCAGAATTCTCTCTTTAAGTTTACAGGACTAATTCAGAGACAAAAAAAATCAGAAAGACTGATGAACCATAAAGCATTTGAAAGGACACAACTAGCGTTACAGCTAGGCTATTAAGTCACTGGCCTCGCTGAGCTGGAAATGCATCATCATCCTGAAAAGGGAGACCAACAGCATCTTTAGGTCTGGCAAAATATAGGGAAAGTGTTTCAGGCTAAAAACAACGTTTTTTGCCCTTATTGATAATTTCATATATTCTACTAGGTTCTGAAGGTCAACCGGTGAAGGTAATGATTACCACATGTTAACTACTTTCTAGCTAGGGTTTCTACCCATTGTTGTTTTCCCTGAGGAAAAATCAGAGATGGTGTGGTTCTATTTTGTAAATGGACTTCTATTTTTAATTGGGCAAATCATTTTTTTAACCAAATAATCTTTTATTTACCCCTTGCATTTTCTCTTTCAATTCGTTTGGAAACATTCAAATTGCTCTAAATTTGTTTAAAAGGAAATTCTAACCTCACCCTAAACGTTTAAAGGTAAACTTTTGTTCTCAATCATAAAATCCATACTGCAATGCATTATCATCGCATTATTTTTTCTTACGTGGGCATTATAACTACTTGGTAAGTTTTTCACTGAAATATGCTTGACCAGGAGTTGAATTGTTTTGGTTAGTAAATTCCTTATGCTTTGAATGAACGTTCTATATATGTGTGTGGGGAGTTAACTCTTTGACAATGATTTGAGCTTGAATCACACTGTTGTCCGATCACGCTGCAGGTTTGGCGTGTTTTCACAGCACAACATATGACAGTCAGAAATTATTTGATTAAATGTACAACAACAAAGTCACAACATTCATTTATTTATTTTAATATAAATATAAATAATATGGATTTAAAGGATCTGTTTTTTAGTGTTTCTATTGATGTCGCAATATTTAAACTAGCTTGAAATTTACAGAGATACTTTCATGCATCCTCACTGTTCACTGCATGTCCCCGTTTGCTTTTCTCTACAAGTTTAGTGCGTTTCAAATGCAAGTGTAGGGTAAACTGTAAGGATCTGACAATAAACACAGTCCATCAGGCAGCGTTTAGAAATGGCAGGCTTGGTAATCGGTACATCACCCTGTGGTTGCCTGCTGTGACAGAGACTCTGCTTGTTCAGACTTGTCCCTACACTCATCAGGTGAGCTTCAGCGCTATCACTAATCTCCCAGAGGAATGCAGCTGAAATCAGATGAAGAATTTACAGTGAAGACAAAGATAGACACAATGTCATAGATGGCAAAAAATAAACCAACTCATGCTTTTGGACTTCATGTTCAACTTAGCTCTTTTGTGTATGTATTTTGTTTCTATTAGCCATATTCAAACCAAACTGTATTTTGCAGAATCAGATAGAGTCATTTTGTTTGTCATAATCTAACAACAGAGAGGAGACATCAAGCATGATACTGTTGGGGTTTTTTGTCCATTCCACATAATGACACAGCTGAATAGGAGAACAAAGAAAGGCAAAGGAAGACGTTCAACAAATGAAATGAGTAAAAGTAATCAATGCAATGTTGATCTAATGTATTTTTAATGAGCCTGAAGTCAGGCAGCGGGTTGATGTGAGGGCCAGGGAGTCATGGCAGCAGAGATTAGGCAGTTAGGCCGGTATTGATCATATGGCTGGTAGAGGTAGGCTGGCACCATGGCTGACCCAGATAAACGAGCTCAACTGTGCAGCACATGAGCTGAAAGAGTATGGATTTACCTTTGTTCCATTACTGTTGCAAGCAGAGAGCACAGTTCGCAAATGGAAATTTGGTAATCCAAAAATTAAACTTTAAAACACGTCTTGGTTAAAAAAAAGGCGTTGCTGTTTTCTCAGATTTTATTTTTTCTAATTATTATTTTTTGAATTTTATGTTTTTCAAATCCATCCTCATTTTTTTTATAATAGTTTTTTTTAAATAATATATATTTTGATAAATTACTTAAAAAGAAAAAAAATCTGAGAATATGAGAAAAAAGTAAAGTGACTATTAAATGTCATGATCTGGCCTGTTTGCTCTCCCTTAATTAGTCATTCCTTTCACCTGTCGTTTTCCCTCCCTGCCTCAATTATAATTTATTCCTCTCACCTGTTTCTTCTGTTTATATTCAGTTCAGCCTGAGCATTCAGTGCCAGATCATTATTTGGTTTTAGTTAGTTGTTCTGTTCATCCTATTAATTTCTGTTTCATGTTTTGGATCCTGGCGACCAGTGGAAAGAGGGTTTTGTGTTTGTCTCGTCTCCTGATCGTCCACTGTTCCTCCCCCGCGGAGTCCTCTGGGTTTTTGGCTCTGTGTGGGGAGGTTCAGTTTTTATCTCTGTAAGCCTGGCTCC